ACCAGGTCTCCATAATTCCAGCCAGGTCCGCACCCCATTCCACTATAAGATCACAAATGCGGGGGGCTTTATTAACTACCGACCTGGCATTACACAACATCAGCCAAGGACCTGGGGCCAGAGACTCTGTGCAACCCAGGACACGAGTCGCACATTGGGGGCCAGAGTGCGCAATCGCTCGTAAACAGTGCGTGCACACCCCGAAACATGATATGGCCCCCTGCACCCGTCATATCTGCCCCTCCCACTTATTGTTTCAATTACACTGCCCTTCCTATCGCTCCCCGGATCCCCGATCAGATTACCATCCTCATCCCTTCCGCTGTGCCCATCCAACTCACCACCCCATATAGTGGCTATATGGACCCCCCCCCCAGGTCCATCACTACAGCCCCAACCCCCCCTCCCGGATTCCCTTAAAAGCTTCCCTATTACCCTTATTAAAAAATCCCTCAACCCCCTTTTTTCACATGCCACCTCTCTGTGTTCCAAAACCTGTCATTGAGGTAGGCCCTCGATAATGTAGAGGGCCATGTCTGCGAAAGAGGGGAATCTCTCAGTGCAAGAAGATCCGATGTGGTATACATCTCAAGTTGCAACAATGGAGATGAAGAGCATAGTCAGGGGTCCATTTGATAATCCAAAAGTCAGATGTAACACGCTGCCGTAGTTCAGTGAGGCTCCACTGGTACCTCCACTGTCCTCTCACGACAGTAGGATGGGTCTTAACAATTTCAACCAAATGGGGAGCGACACCCAGCCTGCCCTCTCACAGCGGGAGGCCCTCAATCGGCCATAGATTGAAAACGCTCCCCCAGTGGTGAAATCGCGGTAAAACAAAAGACCCCCTCAGAAGTTGCCTCACTGGCTGTCCCATGGCCAGAGAGAAGTGTCTTATCAATCAGTCAATCCGGGGGCTAAAGTTGGAACAATCCTTGGAGCAATCCCTGCACTCAATGGTCATACCAGTGCGATGGTCCCGATAAAAAGGGGAGGGGGGAGGAAGGGGAGGGGGGAGAAACCCCTTCAGTCCAGGGCAGATAGTAAAGCACATTTCTCAGTTTAGACAGGCCTGGAAGGGGGGGAAAGGGCTGGTATCCGTGCAACGGGGGCAAAAACCCCTCCATCGCCCCACTAGCCCTATCTTCCCCAGTTCTTCCAGGGTAACATACAAATTACTGAACCCCGGCCTTCTTTAAGAGTCCATGGAAGGCCTCCAGAACTTCTACAGCCTCCAGGTCTGCTACAGCCATCAGAGTGAAGATCTTTCCTGAAGGGGTCTTTCACCGCCAAATCCAGAGACAGGCCATTTGTACCCCTTTCGGCAGCGCTCCAGCAGTCCCCTTTATGCCAGTGATAGCATCGGATAGCAGTGTCCAGAACTTCAATGGGGTGCACCGTGGCCCCATTTAATATCAGGGCCGACTTCGCCACCCCCGCTGATACCGTCTCCGCCATCCCTGGCTCCAGGGTAATGCTAGCAAGCGGCTACCGAGTGGGGCAGGTGGACTTACAACAGGTCGCCTTCCATTCACCACTAATGCTGCCACTGCCGCCGTCTTCGCCGCCAATAAATCACCATTCTCCTGCCCCAGCCGCGTCACAGCGGGGCGGCTACAATCCTCCATTTGCCGACTCCAGGTGCACCCCGGGGGGCGAGAGAGGTCTCAAAACACTCGCCCAGAACTCATCCTGCCAGGCAGGGGGTCGCTGATAATTGAGCGCCCCTTTGGTACCCCCTAAAACTTAAAGTCACCCCCATCAAACCGCAGCACTTTAGGGAGAGGCCACCATCTTGTGCATGCTCAGAGGTTTATAAAGTAGGTAATGGGAACAATATGCAAATAAAAGGGAAGGCTCAAAACTGAATTTTAGGGATATTTGGAGGGCAGGGGTTGAAATATGTTAAGGAGTAAAATGTCCTACAGGGGCTTAAAGTATCCATATAGCATCCATATTAGATAGATAGATAGATAATTTTATTTCTATACCGCCCCTCTCCTGAAGGACTCGGGGCGGTGCACAGCCAAGTAAAAAACACAATACAAATCCTAATTAAATTTAAAAATTATTAAAATTATTACATTTATAGCCAAGATTCGTTAAAAACTCAAAAATTTAAAACTCCGAATTTAAAACTCCTTTACAAAAATAGCCCTGCCTGTCGGAAGAGCAGGGTCTTGAGGGCACAGTGAAAAACTTGGAGGTCAGAGATTGTGCGTATTTCCGGAGGCAATTCGTTCCAAAGGGCAGGAGCTCTCACAGAGAAGGCTCTTCCCCTGGGTATCTCCAGCCGAAATAGTTTGGCCGACGGCACCCTGAGGAGTCCCTCTCTGTGGGAGCGAACTGGTCGGTGGGAAGCTATCAGTGGCAGAAGGCGGTCTCATAAATACCCAGGCCCTGAGCCATGGAGCGCTTTAAAGGTGGTAACCAACACCTTGAATCGCACCCAGAAGACCACTGGGAGCCAGTGCAGCTCGCGCAGGAGAGGTGTTACATGAACGCAATGGGTGGCACCCATAATCACCCACGCGGCTACATTCTGGGCCAGTTGGAGCCTCTGAGTGCTCTTCAAGGGGAGCCCCATGTAGGGAGCATTACAGTAGTCCAGCCGAGAGGTCTTCCATGTTTTTAAAGAAAAGATTAGATTTCCATTGAGACTATAAGAGCAAAAATAATGGATTATTTGTAGATGACCCTACACAAAAGGTGCCAGATTTTAACCTTCCTTGCCAGCATTGGTCAACTGAACAGGATCCATACCCAACATGGTGTCTGCCAGGACTCATTGTTTAAGTGGGGTCTTCTCTCTACCCCTCAGTGTGACTGTGGTGCTCCTCGAAAAAATATCCATCACATTGTGTCCGAATGTCCATCAAGAGCTTACACCAGCCCAATGTCTGATTTTTTCAACATAGACCACCCTGTTCTTGAATGGCTGGGTGGACTGGACATTAACATTTGAACCAGTATAAGTCCATGTATTTGCCATACGCTAAATAAAAATAAAATAAAATTGATTATTTAGTCTCTACGCCCACCTATCCAAAACAGGTTGAGTAGATTGCCTTGATGGTATCACTGGCTCCATTCCTTGCAATTCTTTGGGACCAAAAAACTGTCGCTTCTTTTATGTGCCTTCAAGTCAGTATCTGTTACAAAAAGTTTCTCACTTCTACCCTGCAGTAGCAGTAGTAAATAGTAGTATTAGAAGTAGCAAAGAAATATTAGAAAACTTGCTGGACTTGCTTCAGGTTTTATCAGTTTGGCATCTAGAAGCTCCGAATCAGGCCAACAGGCTTTGCTTCCTAACAAAATATGTTTATGGCATGCTAAGACCAAGTTTTACAAAATTAAAAGTAGTGGGTCAAAAGGCAATCACGCTGTATGGGGTTTTTTTTCCTAATTCCAGTAAAAAAAAAAAATAGAAGCATTTCTCTTTTTTGCCACTTTTGGTGACAGGGCAGGCAAGAAGTATATTTTATTTCATTTTTATTTAACTTTATTTGATTACTTTATATAGCTACATACTGCCTCTTCCTGAATGGTCCTATAATAAAGATCTCTAATATTAAAGATATACATATAGAAACAGCAACAAAAGAGTTCGAACCCAGATTTAAGCTTTAACCCATTTTCTAAACAGTATTAAGGAAAGGACTTCCATCTAAGGGTCTGAGAAGGTGTCATGGTGACCAAGCTATAGTTTCAACCAGTTTGTTAAGTATTAAATGTTATTTCAAAAGCAACGTAGTATGTTATAAGATTTTACCACCAAATTTCAGTAGCAGTATTTAGGGGCCTTATGGGGGGGCCAAAAGGGGATTGAGGGCCACCCATAGATCCACCAGTTGTTGGCTGCCCATCCCTGATATTAGTGACTACCATAATGGTGGTCAGAAAATATAAATGAGCTCCTTCCCTCATTTGCTTTCAGAATGCCAACAAATCTATACTTCTGTGCTTTCAAAGCTCTGTGTTTAGCTATGTCTTTTCCTATTTCATGGCATTCTCACTTCACACCTACTTTGTTCCTTTATTGTCTAATTATTAGCAAAAGCTGGTTTAGATTTAAGTTTCAGAATTGTAGATATGAGAAAGAGTGGAAGGTGATCTTGATGGGAATATGCGGGACCTTTACCTAGGCAAAGGGGGCTGAAAGACTTTTTTAAAACCCAGGGGGAAAAGATAATATTAGAAAGTAGCTCATGCAAACACCTTTGTGATTCACTGGAATATAAAAAGGGGAAACACTGCAAAATCAGAGTTGCAAGATTATGTTATTATAACCAATCTCAAAAAAAAAAAAAAAAAGGTCCTGTATTCCTGTGGAATAGATTTCTTGGCATAGTCTTTATGCCAAGAAATAGTGAAATAGACCTTTAGTGGGGCCGATATGTATTGGACAACACCCTTAGATAAAGTACAAAGTAGAATAGGTAAAATTTTCCTTGACTCAGATCACACGCCCATGTCATTTTCCTGGCAATGGTACAAAGTAAACTAATTTTCTTTTTCTAGAATGCATTTTGCCTTTTTTTCCTGTCCATCCTACAGCTCTATATTTTGTGATGGTTCTCCAAACCAAGTTCAAAGAAGGTCAGGACCTGCTTTGCTTTTTTAAGATGAGCTAACTGCTGTCTCTGAGCTTGGATTGTAGATTATAAAAATAATACACAAAGAACCAAACAAACTAATAGCTTACAATTATCTCTCAATGATCTCTTTCAACATTTTTAATGGTTTCTCTGAAATCATCTACCATGACCCCAGAAGCTAATAGGCTTCATAACAAAGGCTTAGCTATGCCAATAGTTATCTCTAAAATATTTTGGCACTGATTAGATCAATTTGATCTCCCCAAAACTTTTAATTATAGCAACAGAAGCATGCCTATCACAGAGAAAACATGTTATTTTCATTGCAGTTACAATTTAAAAAGTACATGTTTGCTGCAAAATGAACACTTAAGCAGCTATTTAGGTTAAGCCGATACTCACTGTTTTGAATTTCATTTTTCAGAGCACCTGTACAAAGAAGGAAAAGAAAAACATCTGTAAAGTTGGAGAACTGGACAGTTAGGTAAAAGAACCAGGAAGAAAATCTAAACTGTTATAAAAAATAATGTGCCAATACTGTACAAAGTAACTTTTAGATGACAACAGTTAACACCCATCTGCCTGAGAACTGACGTCAAATAAAGGAAGGGGGGGGAAATCACACATTTAGCTTGTTATCATTGATGCTGAATGGGTTTTGCTGAATGGGTATCCTGAAAACTAAAAACAAAACAACAACCCAAAATGAGTTGGCAACTTTAGAAGTTGGAATATTTGCAATATTCACTACCACTGGCTAGAAAAATATATGTTATATATAGTTCAGAGTGGTTTCATACATTTATGAAGAGAAAGATTTATACAAACTGAAGAGAAACCAGAGTTGGCTTTTCTTTCCAGAAGAATTTTTTTTTCTAGAAAAAAAGACAGAATTAGTGACAGGAAAGAGATTTAATGAGACCAGTGTCACAGGCTCTTCTCCCAGAAAAAAGGATAGCACTGAAAGAGGGTACGTATGACCAGTCTTCATTCCAGGTATTTCAGCATCCTTGATTATAGTCCAGATGTTCAACAACCAGCTCATAATTACAATGGTCATAGCATCCCACAATCATGTGATTACTATTTGTAACCTTCCCATCTTCTGGCAAGCGAGGTCAATGGGGAAACCAGGAGGAAGTCAGAAATGATGACCATGTGACATCACGCTTAATGACATTATGGCAGTCACTTAGGGCAGCAGTCAAAAATTCCAAAATGTCCTTCATTAAGTGATGTTGTCATGTCATGTTGCATTTTACAACCGCATCTCTTAGTGATGGCATTCTGGTCCCAGATGCCATTATTAATCAAAGATTACTTGTATACCCAGAAATGTCCTGGGAGGTAGGAGGATTCCTGGTCCTAATTGCCAAGCCCTATATTATCTATTGACAGCTCCATCAAATTTTGTTTCTGTTCTGTTTGATCATCAGGAAGAGAGGGGGGGGGAACCCTAATTGTTCTCCCTAATGTATTGTGAGATTGGAATAGAGAAGGGTGGATGCACAGAACAGCCATTTTAGCTATTCTTTTACAATTAACGTGTAACAGGGACAACGGTAATCTGAACCAAGTATATGACACCTTATTCCTGAATACAGATGTAGTGCTTTTCTGGAAAGAGCAGTGGTGGCGCAGTGGTTAGAATGCAGTATTGCAAGCTAACTCTGCATTCCACTGCCAGGAGTTCAATCCTGACCGGCTCAAGCTTGGCTCAGCCTTCCATCCTTCCAAAATCAGTAAAATGAGAACCCAGATTGTTGGGGGCAACATGCTGACTCTGTAAATCATAAACCGCTTAGAGAGGGATGTAAAGTCTATGAAGTATATAAAATTAACTGCTTATTGCTATTGTCCCAAAGTAGCCCGGCTGACAGCCATAGACATGGAAGTGGGGCATAGGGTGAAGCAGGAAGAGAAATATTAAAAACTGAGCTTTGTCCTCAGTTTGTAATGAAAGGGAACAGCAGCGTTGGCAGCAGCGTTGGCTATGGTAGACACACCCTGAAGCACAGTAGCTGGTGGAGTAAAAAAATAGTGCTGCCTGTTCAACCAAACAAAACAGCTTTATTTGCAGAAGTAATGGAAAACCTGCAATTGCACACATTCTTAACCAAACCAGTAACATGCAGTTAAGAATAACAGAATAACAGAATTGGAAAGAACCTTGGAGGTCTTCTAGTCCAACCACCTGCTCAAGCAGGAGATCCTATACCAGTGATGGCGAACCTTTTCGGCACCGAGTGCCCAAACAGGAACGTGTGCATGCTGGAGCCCTAGAAACTCAAAGACCAGCGGGCCAATGTGCATGCGTGCGCCAGAAACCAGAAGACCAGCTGGCAACAACATGCGTGCCCACAGAGAAGGTTCTGCATGCTACTTCTGGCATATGTGCCATAGGTTCGCCATCACGGTTCTATACCATTCCAGATAAGTGGCTGTCAAATCTCTTCTTAAAAGCCTCCAGTGTTGGTTGCCCCCGGTTTGGATCAGTTCTATAGAACTGGTAGTAAAACCAGAGGGAGGCTCCGCCCACTAACCCTGACATTATCAGAAGCAATCTGCAACAGTAATTCTGTTGCGAACCGGTAGTAAAGATAAATAGAACCCACCCCTGTGGAGCACACACAACTTCTGAAGGCAAGCCGTTCCACTGGTTAATTGTTCTTACTGTTAGGAAACGTCTTTGACAGATCCTGGTTCTTCTTCCTGGTTTAGATCAACACAGCACAGAACTACCATTTTTAAGAGTCCCTTTTTTCATGCAGATCTCATCCTCTCTTGAAAGAGAATTAAACTCATATATCTAACAAGTGTGAATAATATCTGGCAAATGAAAGCAGGTGTGGAGTCTTTCCTGGAACCAAAGGCAAAATGAAGGTACCACCAACCAGAATGTGGGAGGAATCCTTGAAATAGCAAAAGTGACCAATTGGAGCTGAGCAGAACCCAGCCTTGATTGTATCCTCAACCAGGCTGTCAATCAAGCATACTAAATGTTTCAGAAGAAGAAAGTGCTACTGAGAGGAAGGGATATACTGTACATACTGCAGGCATATATGGCCGTATCCTGAATGGATCCTGAGTCCAGCAGCAGCAACTTTCTGAAGGACTAGACCTGCTGTTAGAATGATGGCACCAGAAACAAAGCTGCCACGTTAAACTCTTTTCTTTCTCCTGATCTTCCTCAGTTGTCCCATTTGGCTCAAGGACACCGAGACATAAATTCTTTCACCATTGGGTACCTTATCTGGGAGATTTGTCTTGGGGCCCAGAAAGTTCCACTTCTTTTAATCTTTGGTTTGTCCATAAAAGGCTAGAATGAAGGAGAGAGATTGAACAGCAGCTTATCCGTTAACAAGGAATGGTTCACGAATCCTTTGAAGAAGGATTGTGGAATTGTTTGTTGTTTTTCTCTGCAGACATTCCCCTGCTCTTTATTAATTCTGTTCGCATTTGTAGAGTTCTGAAAAACCTGTCTGTGCTGTTGATGGAATATTTCCCTTGTAAATATACAATTAATCCTTTTAGATTGCCTGTTCTTCTTCCTTAGCCTTTCCAACTTACATTTCTAGCCTGGAACATTTCTATACTATCTATAATTCTTTTGAATAGCAAAATCTTTCTCCTTCCAAATCAATAAGATTCTTTTTCTACAAATAGCTCTTCATCTGAAATTGAATAGGCTTGAGCACTTTTTAAATACACTGAACACAAAGCATGCATTGAGCTGGCAGCTGCTAAATCAGCATTTCAGAACCAGCCTTGCTGGTATGTATGAAATGGATAGCATCTTGCTTACTTCAAAAACATGTACCCACTTGTTCACATGTGCATTGAAATCAAGATATGCTTATCTACATGCAGATATGAACACACACAATTTTGATCTGGATTTATGTCTGGTAAATATGAACATGTGTGGAATTTGAACTTCTTGCTTCTGCTTTCACTTTTATTTATAATATGCATTCCTTTCTCCGTCACCCCAAAGATTTTATTCAGAAACTCCAGAAAGGTTTTTTTGTCATTTCAACAACAACAAAAAAAACCCCTAGCAAACAAGATGCTCTCAAGCAGAAACACCCAAATATAAGAACAAATGAAAATTAGAATTAACTGAATTCAATTCTATAAATTAATCATAACATCAGTCCTATAGATTTCAATGCAATTATTAACATAACTCTGTACAGGGATGTGTAGAAGTAAACCTCATTCGTATCTGTGACATTAGTTTTGTTAAGATTAGTGGTGAACTACATCTTAATCTCAACCCAAGGCATTTTTTTCAGAGATAAATAAATGTTTTCCTTAATAAATTATGATATCTGAAAAATTTGCAATTGGAGGATAACAATGTGCACTTCTATGTCTTATATTTCAAAAAATTGTTAACTAAGGTACAGTATTAGAGAAAAAGCTAAGGCACAATCATTTTCGCTAATATGCTACCTTTCTATGGGTCATGTGTTTAACTTGACATGTTAGCACATTCAGTCATGGGAACTCTCACATCCACAAGTTAATTACTTTGCGTACAATTTGTGATACCCCTGATTTATTCTAAATTGTATACAACATCCATGGCTGATAGACTTTGCAAGAATGAGGAGAGCTGTTGCTTTTTTCTTGGTAGCTAAAGCAGAGAAGTAAGAGCAAATAAAAGAATGCAACATATTTTAAAAAGCAATTAATCAGAGTAAATGGTCAGGATCCAATAAACTCTCCATGTACCTTTTTTTGCAAAAAGTGGATATGCCTCAGTTCAAATGTGAAAGAATTAAAAAACACCCTTAATCTGCACTAATCACAGATACTCATTGATTTTTTATTGTCGAAGGCCAGGATATTCAACTCTATTACAGCTGAGGATCTCATAAAAGTCATGGGATCATTTGGCTTAACTGAGAAACGAAAGGTCAACATGAAACCCTGTTGAAATGGAAGGTAGCCTCACCTTTTTGGATTAGAGGATTTCAAAGAGTTTTAATACCAAAAAAAAGACAATTATTACATACACATGCTCATAAACCTAGACGTCTTTGTCCGCAAGAGCAAAATAAGTTTTCCAATGAAATGTACAGGGTGAAAGAGAAACAAAGGAGCTGGCTGTTCCCATTTTAAAACAACTTGATTCCAGTATGCAAGGCAAGTCAACCATTGAAAGGACAACTGGCAACCATTGCAAGGCATGCTGTGCCAGGCTATTTGCAGAGATAAAAATTCTCAATCAAGAGCTTAGGGATTGGAACCCAAGAATGTCGCCATCATCAGTTTCCCTCCTTGATCTTACCTTTTTCAATATGCATGCATAAATATACCTAATTCCAGATGAAAGAAACCCATGCTGCTCTGAAACTTTGGTTACAGACCCTGGTGGAACCAGCTTTGCAAACAATGAGACACCTCCATTGCCTACTTTTGTTTCTTTTCTTTTCTTTTTTTCAAAATATTTTTATTCAATATTTTTAACCTTTAAAATAACAATTACACTATTACAGCTTCCCGTTAGCGGAATTTTTTCTTAATTTCAATTTATCCACAGACCTGTTGTTTTATACATATACATTCTTATTTCATAGTTACTTATTTTTATACTATATACAATATTTACATGTCTACTACACTCTAAAATATACAGAGACAGTGTATTGTGAGATGTGGAACAGGTGGTATAACTGGCTTGAAAAGAAGTCTAAAATTAATGTATAGTGAATATACAGAAAAGATAAGAAATGCCTACTTTTGTTTCAATCCCATGCCAAATAAAAATGCAAATGGATAAGAATTTAAGAGACTGTTATGTCCTTAAAAATATTCATAATAAAAAAAAATAGTCCTTAAAAGATAAAAGAAAGGACACAGATATCCCTTCTTTGTCTTTCAACTGCTAGACCACATTTCTGAGCTGGTTGGCGACCATTCTAACAATATATGTGCAAATGCAAAGTGTTCCTAAAGAAATACTGCCTGATGTGGAAGAGATGGTCTGATCACTAGCTCTTACTCCATCTTCTTAGTCCTAAGAATAAAATTCAAGTATTGGAATTGCACTGTTGTAGTCCGAGTCCCTGAGAAGGCCTATTCTGAGATATCCACTGTAAATCAGCAACCTCCTTGTTTAATTCAGAGAAACAGGATCTTATACACACATACTGAGAGTTTATGCACCATAGAAAAATTCTTTGTATGTTCAATCATTCTTGGCCAATAAAGAATATTCCCATACACAAACACACCAAGTAAGTAAGGGCCAACTTACTTACCCTGTGTTAGAGAAAGTATGACAAAGCAACAGAAAATAGAGGCAGTTCTTCTCATACTGAAGCAGGGCCTCTGCTTCAAATCCAAGGAAGAAAGTGGTTTCCAGCCTGTAATACTCCAGCTTTGCTTCAGTGAAAATCTAGGAGCGTGCAAAATAAATTTTTAACAAGGCAGCCACTTCCTGGCAGCTTCCTGGAAGAATGTGATCCAACAGGTCTGCCCACCTGATCTGTTCTCTGCCGTCCCCTCCAATAACCACACCTTGCTGCCTTCTGTCCCTTGCTAACCTGGTCAGTCTTGGGCGTCACACTCATCTAAGATTGAGCAAGAATTGTGTACCATTTTTCAGAACAAGATGCTGTTTCCAAGGAGGCAAGAAAAAATAAATTAATGCTAATCTGGATGCAGAAATATGATGCCTGCGTTACCAACCTTCCCCTATCATGTGCTCTCAGATGCCTGATAAGAAAAGGCATAGAATGGCGTAAAGAATGCTTGCAGTGCCATTCATTGTGGAATCAGTGGAAAACTTTGTATAACTACCACAAACAAGGAATAAGCTTGTTTTATATTTGTCTAGTTCATAATGGGAAATTTACTTTTCTTCAACAACACTACTGGTATAGAGCAGATTTCAGCAGTTATTTCAGTTTACTTTCTCAATTTAACAGTTTATTTTTTTCAAGAATTACCCAAGGAGGCATTTGCTGTATTTTTTTTTATGTCCACATTTTTTTCTACCCAGATTCAAAAACCACTAATGTGTCACATTCTAAGGTAATTAGAATAGCTGCATTTAAATCATCAAGTTTGACTACCACTGCAGAAAGCAAAAGAATGCTAGGATATAGAGCAAAGGAATTTCTCAAAAAAAAAATACAAATAACAAAAAGAAACCCAATGAAAGAATGATATGGTAAATTAATTGAAGAAAAGTCGTTGCCCCTTCCTACAAACTCTGTCCCCTTGTTCAGAATTCTTAATCTGGTATTCTCTAGAGAAGGGCTGTCAAACCTGTGGCCCACAGGCTGGATGCGTCACATGCTGGCCGTGCCCCCACCCAGTTTAGCAAAGAGGAGGAAAGTCCCGATACATCATGTGACAACGCCGTGATGATGCAAGTTTGACACCCCTGCTCTAGAGGCACTGGAAACTCACAGCATTCACAGTTGTGCTCCAGTACTTTTGGAGGTACCAAGCTGGATAAGGGTGCCCTAATTTCCATATGCCTTTCAATGAGAGGTAGGATTCCCAAGCACTGTGAGCTGTGTCCTTCTATCATAAAGCATAAATAAATCAACAAACAAAAATGGCAATGTGCTCTGTCAGTTATAGCACTGGAATATTCAAATTTTAAACATTTAAAATTAAAGAACCCTCTCAAACATCATGAGATTTCATTCTTATATGAAATCCTTGATGGAAAGATTACTAAAGTCTTATGTAACTTGGTAACTTTATGAGATTTCTCATGGTTTTGAAATAATAATAATAATAATAATAATAATAATAATAATAATAATAATACGATACCTTAACAGTTCCTAGGTCCTTGGTTAGGACTCGAGCTGCTGAGCTATTAACCAGCCTCAAAGGCTGTGAATCTCACTAAAGATTAAATAATAATAATAATAATAATAATAATAATAATAATAATAATGGTTGTACAATTAGTCTAATGTTTAATTGTATTTCGCATATTTGTTCACCTGTTGAGTCTTTCCCAAGAACCTGGGATAGGCAGATGTTCTTGTTTGAATAATTGTTAGTAGTATAAGTATTTTCATTTCTGGTGTACAGGAACCATCTTCAAAGCAGACTCCAGAGCCAATGCATTGAAGTGTTTTTGTGTAAATGACGTGATTAGACTTGGACTGAATAGAAGCTAGGAGCTGCCAGCAGATTAAAGGAATTCATGATCTTACTGTTGAGACATAAGTACAATAACATGTTTTGCATCTGCCAGTTGATCATAGCTGATTTTTTTAATGACTTTATCCTTTTACTGTACTGGATTTAATTTGCAGCCAGACTCTGTATAGTAATTAGCTGTTGTGCAGCTCAAAAGGGATATGCTTCAACAAATGGGCTGATTCTGATTCTTGGGTTTTATTATTTATTTGTCCCTGTTTTAATTGGTTTTTAATTAGGATTTTCCTTTATTATTGTATGTTTTTTAACTTGTGTTCGCCGCCCTGAGTCCTTTGGGAGAAGGGCGGCATATAAATATTTGTAAATAAATAAATAATATGCATGTGAATGGGACCATATTCACATTTCTTTTATTTGTGTGTGTTTGTGTGAAATTTTATTAAAACTTTAAGCAAGAAGATAAAAGTTAACACAAACTAATAGAAAGTAAGACAGGAATCAAAGAAAAAGCAAGTGGTGTAAGAAAAGGAGAAAAAGTTAAGGAAAAATTAAAATAGAAAAGAAAGGAAAAAAGTAAAACTCTTCTGGTGTTCTTCACAGCTATTATAAATTCAAATATATTTTAACTTCTTTAGTTATAACATATTACCCTTCTTTCTATAACCTATCCCACCTAGGCATCATCATTATCTTCTTCCTAGCATTATTATTCCTGCAAGTGCAGGGTCCACCTTTCAGGTTGACGAATGCCATCTTGATGATCAAACACAGCATCCAGATCCAACTGGGTAATTTTCATGTCTGTATTTATTGTGTCTTGCCATCTTTACTTCAGTCCTTCATGTGGACGTTTGCCATCTGTGTTAAAGTGGAAGGAAATGCAGGCAATGGTGCAGGGTGCTGTTCATAGGACATGGCCATACCACAGTAGGTGTTTCTCCTGCTTTTTCCCAAGTATTGGTCCAAAGCATACATTCTGGTGAGAGAGAAGTTCCTTGAGGATTGGCTCCAGCATGAGTCCGAAAGCTCAGAAGACTAAACTGCTGGTCCCAGTGACTGACTCAGATTGGATCTTGCAACATTATCCTCGTATATTTGCCTTCATTCTTATAGGCACAATGCCCATTTGCTGCCCTATTGTTTCATTGCTGACATGGTCAAGAACAGAAACACCTAATGACCAAACAAAGCACCTGCATCTACCCTGCCCAATCAACACACTTCAAAACAAAGTCACAACAGGGTTTTTTTTTTTTCATTTTTAGGCATATTCGCATTTCCATAGGTATGTATGTAAATACATTTGTACTCCACTTCATTTTATGGGGTTGTTACATTTATATAATGGCAAGAATATGTTTCTTCAGCAGGGCACTGTTTCCTACCTTTCCTACTGTTTTCAATATATAAATGTCCTTTGTATGTCAGTGGCAGCTAATTGACACTGACTACCGAAGGATTTCTACATTTAGTTCAAATGTCAGCCACAACCACTTCCAGTCATAATCGTGCAATGTTTAACATTTGGGTGTTCCCTTGACTGAATTGCCTTCTTTGCTTGACTAAATTTTAGCTCAGGCTTCAGGCGGAAACAACAAAATATGTTGTTTTCTGAGTAGTCCAAACAACTGATGTAAATTATACAAATTTACATTCGCAAGGTGGTCAAATTAACTGCTTGAATCAATGAAATCAATGAAAAGAATGCATCTAGGTTTGTTTCTACTTGGAAAACACTTCTAGACTTTGTGCTCAAGACAGAAAGAAATGAAATGATTTGCTGATTAGGTCAATCTTATTACAATATTGCTTAATGCATTGTAAGCTGCCCTGAGTCTCCGGAGAAGGGTGGCATATAAATCAAATTTTTAAAAAAATCTATTGTTATGGAAATGTCTAGTATACTAAGTACGTAAAAGTTGAGACTATATAGTACTATTTTTTCTCTTACACTGAAAAAAGTTGGAAATTAATATTTTTTTCCTCTTTTTTTTCCCCTTATTCATACTTTTCTTTTCTCCTTTTCCTTCCCCATTTCCCTTCCATTTATTTTCATTTGTATTTTATATTATGAAATGTAATTTTTGAAATGATGTAAAAAAAAGAGAGAGAAATACTGAAACATAATATCCTCTTCCACACCACTATTCTGTTCCTCTCAAGAACAAATGAAGGCACTTTACTTCCCCCAGATCTTTAAATGATGTATTAATTCTGCTGTGGTATTTTTAATATTATACTATTGTTTTATTCTCTGTTACATTTTCTCCCTGTATATTTTATTATTTTTTTCTTGCATGTTTTACACAATATAGTGGTATGCTTTTATTGATGCTTTTAACTTTCCATTTGAATTGTTTGAATTTGGTTGTTTAAGGGAAAAAAATAAAAGATTGTAGATCCTCCTACCTTTCAGCATCCTCTCTGCTTCTGAGGTCCCCAGCATACAGTCTATCGCATTGAAGAAAGCTTTCACTTAGCTCATTTTTCAAGTAGTTGTTGCATGTGACATTGTCTCGGAGTAGCATTTGTGGTTCCTGACAAGCAAGTGAAAATGGCATGATTTCTGTCAAAGAACAATTGGAAAGCATCTCATACATGCAGTGGCAGGGGCATATTGGCTGGGAGATTCTGGGAGTTGAAGTCCATGCATCCTAATGATGCTAAGGTTGAGAAACCCTGCTCCAGATGACCAGTTAGAAGTTGGTGCCTACATGGGAATCCTCATTAGGTAAATGTCCAATTAGAGTTCTGGTCAAGACATCTTCATATTCACATGCACATACATACAGAGTTAGTGAATATTCAGATGATAGAATTTCGTTTCAGGTTTACCAAACTGTGAGTTAAATCAGAGACTTTGATAAACATATTTTTCCTGAATCAGTTCAGAACTCAGTTCAATATTCCAAAAATTTGAATTGGACTTTGTCTGATTTGAGGGGGTGGGGGTAATGATTGATATTCTAATTGGATTAAGGTAAATCTGAATACTCTGTAATATACACTACATGCATATGCAAAAATGAGCCTTGATAGTACAGTGGTTTAGTGCACCCTATTATTAACACAGCTGCCTGCAATTTCTGCTGGTTCGAATCTCTCCAAGGCTCAAGGTTGACTCAGCCTTCCATCCTTTCTAAGGTAGGTGAAATGAGGACCCAGTTTGTGGGGGCAATAAGCTGACTTTGTATAAAATATACAAAAGAATGAAGGCTATTGCTTAACGCATTGTAAGCCGCCCTGAGTCTCCGGAGAAGGGCGGCATATAAATCAAATCAAAAAAATATATATATAAACAAAATGTAGTTCCAGCA